ACATTAGCACTCACGCCTCTTCGCACTCTAACTACCTTTGGAGGTTGAGGTAAACACAAACTAGAATTGACACACCTTTCGAGAACAATACCCTGTACAGAAAAGTGAGAATTACAAACTAAATTTTAAGTAAACAAAATGTGTCGGTCTTCTGGGCTAAGCATATTCGTGGTTAGCGTCTAAGTTCTTTAAGATTAAGACAAGATAGTAGAAAATTAACCTCAAGCTTCTTTGCAAGTGAAAAGTAGCGTCTGGCAATAGGAATCCAAAAGGCATGCTCTCTAATCTCAGGTTCTCCATCAGCGTAAAATATCTCTTCAGGTTGATACCACACTCTGTTGAGATAATTGTCTGAAGATTTCTCACCTTCTTTGCGAACTTGATAATCGGCAAACCTCAGATAACCGTATTTTCTAGTGTAGTCTCCATTGGATTCAAATGCAAGTTCATCTTCGGGTCCATCTCCAAACCTCTGGTCATAAAAATGTGCAAGGATTTAATCAAAGTCATTTAAGGGAAAATAATTCACTGCATGTGAAAATGATCTACGTGCTTTTCCCAGCTTTTTTTTTTTAAACAGTTTTCGTAACACCTAAATTGATGGGTTTTACGCGTTACTGAATGGTAAAGTTTACGTAATGAGATAACTATTAGAGATCATTGTGGATTGAGCAAATACATAATTATGGTTACCTGCCAATTCCAGAGGCCAGTATGAGCCCAATACTCTGGGATTGTAACATCTCCTATTTGAATTTCAGGATTTGCACCTCCCGCTGATCCCAAATGAAGTACTCCATGGATCCTGAATACACTTAGCAGCAGCTGTGTTGCTACTCCTGAATTCAGCTGTAAAATAATAATTTAAATTAATTACGTTGTTACCCATAAAAACCTAAAGGAATAAATAAATCATTGTATTTTCATTACCATGCTGAGTCCGGACATGACAACGACAACTTTTCGATTTTCCAGTGTTCCAATTCGAAACCTTCTTCCTGTATGGAAATTAAATTTAAGTGTACACAGTTATTTCATTGACAATAAGTGGGAGTACAGTTACTATTAATGGAATTCACCATTTTTTTTAAATAAATATAATATTTACATGAAATGTTGCATCAACCACTTTAGTTAAACCACTTTAGGTAAATCACTTTACTATTATAAAGAAAAATCTCTTTAGGTAAACGCAAAACATATTCCAACTACTGAGATGTTAAAAAAGCGTAGACTGAGAGAGTAGTAGACAATATGTAAACAACACTTTGTGCAGAAATATTTCACAAAAGTAATGAGTAATAGACAAGATTATAACTTTTTTTTTTATAGCATTTGATACCGAATAATTCATCTTCTACATAATCAAAGTAAGCAATAAATTAAATTTGAAGTAAATAATTGTCTAACCTGCATGATCCAAGTGGGGAATCGTGTCATGA